GGCGGCGGCGGCGGCGGCCTTCCCTACCAATGCGTTCCAGATGCGCCTGTCCAAGTTCGCCGACACCGACACTGCAGACGGTGGAAAAGAAGGCTGCAGTTGAACGTCACGGGTACACTCGCATTGTTGGCTTGAGTCACGACCTCTGGATCTCGTCGCCGCACAGTTCGCCAGGCACATCTTGAAAGCGCGGCCGAGGCGTACGAGGCATAGTAGACTTTGTTCATGGACGGATTCGACTTCGTCGCTATTCGAGTGAGAAAGTTGTGGATACATCTGCAAACAGCTACACCAAAATCGAAGACAGGCAATCTTGGACGTGACGGTATCATGCTTGCGCATTCCGCATTGCCGTGCGCGTGCGTTGTAGAAGCGGACCCTCCTGTCGGCGGCGGCCCTCGCAACCAACGCGTTCCAAAACGCGCCTTCGTTAATTTCACCCAGACACCAACACTCGGCTTCGCAACCGAACTCGCGCTCACACCATCCCCTTCCGCTTCCGCGTTCCGCATTCCGCACGCGCACCCGTATCTCACCAAGCACTCTCCCGCTCACCACCATCCGCGTCCACAACCACATCCACACGCGCACTACCTCATCCAGCACGCTCCAGCTCACACCATCCGCACTCGCACCGACCTCTGCATCTCACCAGGCAATACAATCTGAGCCACGTGAAGAGTACAAGTCAGAAGGGTGTTGAGAAAGAGATCCTACAGTACAACAGGTTCGAAGCTAGACGGACAAGGGACGGCCCCGGCGCACTTCGCCAGCGGCGCCACCGTCACCGCGCTTGCACGGTGGCAACGCAGGCGAGAGTCGGGCAGGGCAGAACAGAAGGAGACGAGAAACGACAGAAGCAGACACGTCCGCGGGTGAAGAGCACCGAGGCGGGAGGCGGGTCAAGGGGGGGTTGACAGACGAACGATGCCGAGAGCCCGTCTAGAGCTCGGGGCCACGGGTGCTGTTGTAGACCTCGAGGTCGCGCTTGTACTGTTCGAGGGCCTGCAGAGCACGCTGCTCGTATGGTGCCTTCTGGTCGGGCGTCATCTGCTTCCATCGCTCACCGCCGCGCTTGCTGAACTCGGTGATGTTGGGGATGACCGACTCGCTGGCGCGCAGGTCGTTGAGGAACTCGAAGAAGGCCGAGTTGGGACGCTTGGGCTTGGCGGGGTCGCGCAGGAAGGCGGTGCCCTTGATGCCCTTCTTCTTCTGCGAGGCAATGTAGGCGTTCTGGCGCTTGATGTCGTCGGGCGAGAGGGCGGCCTTCCACTCGGCGAGGGCGCGCTCGTACTCTTCCTTCTCCTGCTCGTGCTGGGCCTCGTAGCGCGCCTTCTGGTTGGGAGGCAGCTGGGCCCACTCGGCACCGACGGCCTTGGCCATCTTGACAATGTCGACGACCTGGGCGCCGGTCTTGGGCGACGTCTTCTGGTACTGGGCCTCGCCCTTGAGCTGCGAGACGCGCTCCGACATGTAGATCAGGAACGACGAGCGCAGCGTGGGCTTGCTGGCCGAGGGAAGCGGGAGGAGCTTGCCGTCGGCACCGCGTGCCTGCCAGGGCTTGAGCTTCTCCTTCTTGGGAGCCTTGGCCTTGGGCTTCTTCTCGGCGGCGGCGGCGGCGGAAGCAGCCGAGGCCTTGGACGTGCCGGCCTTGGCCTTGGTGGTGGTGGACGAGGCGCGCTTCTTGGTCTCCTTGGGAGCGGCGGTGGCGAAGTTGGCGGCGGCGGCGGGAACGGCGTTGCGGCCGGCGGCAGCCGCCGGGGCGTTACGGACGGCTGTCCTCATGATCTGGGGAATGCTAAACATAAAGGAAGCAGTTGGGATGTCCTACTGCCGATGGGAAAAGGGGGAGCGCTTCGCGGGGCTGAGGGCGGAGCAGGCAGGATCTTATACGAAAGAGAGCAAAAGGAGGCGGTAGCGCGACAGTGTACGGGGATGATGAAGCGAGAGGGACAGAGAGAGAGGCTGGGAGGGGGGAAATGGAGACGGGAGCTCGCCCAGCTACCCTAGACCCGGAATCTGGAGGGGAGGGGCGGCGGACGCGACAGACTGCCGTCTGGAAGGGGGGAAAAGGGCAGGCGAAATTGGGCGGTTGGACTGCGCAGTCCGAGTCTCACTGGCGTGGGTAGCTGGGCTGCTGCCTGGAGGGGCAACCAACACACACTCTTCGACTCAGGCTGGGAAAATAGCGTGGCTGTGGGCCAAAGCGCTCGGGCACGCGTGGGGATCCTTGGAACGAGATGAAAGCAGGCAGCCCAGCCGCAGTGCGTCCAACAACGCTGCGCTGTGGCCGAGGCAATGCCCAAGATTGCCAACACCACAACTCAGCACGGCACAGCACCACGGCACAGCACCACGGCTCAGCAAGACGACGGATTGCCTTTGCTAGGGTGGTTGAGCCCGAGGCAGCCGAGAATTGCAGTTGGAGGACAGCACAAAGACGACCGCGGTCTGGCGCCTGTGCGGATTCGAGACCTCGAGCACTGAAAGCGGCAGCAGAACGGCAGTGTCGACTCGACAGCACGCGGTTACAAATGCGGCTGGAGAGCGGCACAGCACACGCGCAGTGTGTCGCAGAATTCTCTGGCCCGAGGCGGCGACACAAGGTGTGTGGGCTGGCAACGCTGTTTTTTGTGGCCACGGATTTTTCTTTTCGGATAGGGCTGAGCAAGGGCGGAAAACGGGCGAGGAATGCGCTAGGTCCACACGGCGCTCGCGAGCGACAGCCTCGATTCCAGGCAGCTCACCGCAGACAGCGGCGCGCGCAGAGAGGGCTGGAGGGCTCCTTTTTTCTGGGCAGGAGACCCACACTCGGGCTGCTGCCTGTCTGCAACCTCACTTCGCTCTAGAGCAGCCGCTCGACCGTCGAAAAGAGGAGCGGGAAGGGAGCCGGCGAGGCGAGAGCGAGCCACCTGACTAGGTTGCCCATACCGAAAGACACGCTCCATCACTCGAGCTCGGCTTGTTCACTGACTGAACAGCAGTAGTCGAGACAAGACGATAAGGTCGAAGTGCCACTTCCTGGCTGCTGGTGCGAACAGCGCGTTGAGAGGCGGCAGCCCACCAGTCTAGCTGCTCCGAGGCTTTCAGAACTCAGCCGTTCAGACTGGGCTTGGTGAGGCTCGTCGAAAATTCCCACAGGAAGGCGGCACGAGAGCGCCTTTGCGCGGGAACAAGCGAGGCCAGCAAGGGGAAACTGGCTGTCGTCTTTTTACGAAAGAATGGCTGCTGGACCGCCTGGAGAAAGCGACGTCGTCTGTGAATATTCAGGGCTGCTGCTCAGCTGTGGGAAAATTAGGAGCTCGATCACGACACGCAGGATCAACCCGAAGAAAAATAAAATCACGGGCCGTTGAACCCTGGAGATCAGCAACCCCTCGCTTCGAATGCTGTCGTTCTAACACCTACAATGGAATCGCAATCGGGATGTACAAATCGATGCCGATATCGAAGGGCGCCTCGGGAGCCGGGAATTGATGACCCTGCATGACCCTTGAACCCTGTCAAGCTCGAGGTGGGTGTGGCTTCCGTTTGACCTTCTCTCACCACCCGGAATATGTCGATGCGTTGCCATGAGACCACACCATGGCAGCAGGCTCCAGGAAACGTAGGAGGGCCAATGGACGGCTCGCTTCGCCACCGTTGGGTCCTTCGCCGCTTCTGACTCGCAACCTGCAGTTGCTGCCGGTGGGCCTCACTCGTCTTCCAAGCGACGTGCACTTTGTCTCACAACTTCGCAACGACATCGACGAGCTTCTATCCGCAGTCGCAGAAGCCCTTCTACTCTTTGTTGTACAGTCCGATGGATCTGCGGCTGGACCCCAGGATGATGCAGTCCAAGAGGACCGGCCAGTAGCATCCGTATTCTCGATCTTTGCCTCTCTGTGGCGCCGCAAAGGATGGCACTATGCTCAATTCGCGTTCGGCGATCATACGGATAGCAAGCAGGCATTTGGCGAGGCAATTTGCCGCGCGCTGCTCGAACATCTGTCTCCCCACGTCGATCGCCGAAATGGCCTCATGGCTCAAGGTCAAAATGGTGAGGATGCCGTCGCTTTCACCGACCTCAGGCAGCTGTTCGAGGCGTACGGAGTCCCATTGGCGCTGTATTTGTTCTGGTCCACACAGATGTACTGTGACTCGGGCACCGGTGTCAAACACTGCCGCCCAGCCATGGAGCGAATTGCCATCGAACAGGACTACTACGACTGGTTGCTCGAGCTGCCTCACGCAGTTCTGAAGCATCTTGAAGCCGAGCCCAGAACGAAGCGCAATGCTCACATCATCACGGCCGACCTCGTCGAGGTGCTTTGTCGGCTATCTGGCTCGCCGCTCGACGACGATGCAGGCGACGGCGCGGTTGCTGCAAGCGCGGGTGTCGGTGTTCGTGGCCGAGGCACAAAAAAGCAACGTAATGCCCGCAAAACTTCGGGCGAACCAAAGCGTCGGCGACCGGAAGCAAGGAAGGCCGAATCACGCAGCGCATGGGATCGCGCGGATACTGTCTTTGATGTCGTCCCAGCATCTCGATTCCACACGCGCATGCCGCGAACCTGGCCGTCGGTTCGCGTCGTATCGACCCTCGAGGCCAACAAAGAGTTTGGACGGCTCGGACACATCGTCAAAATTCATCCGACGAACACCAACGACGCTGGCAGCAACGCTCAGGCGCCTGCTGAATCCTCCCGTAGTGGAGGTACCGATGCAGAGCGCCAAGACGTCTTAGGAGGTGCTCGGGAAGTTGTAGCCGGACTTTCGCGCGGGGATGTGGTCCGTCTCAAAGCGCGGCAGAGGCTTGCACTAGCGTCGCTCGACCTGTCGAAGCTGGCGGAACAGAAGCACTCCGGCGAGAGCGGCTCCGACACGGCATTGCGGCATATCGACACGTCGAAGCTTCTTGCCGAGACGGCAGAAGGCAGTGGAAGGGGCGCGTCGAGACAGCAGGCTAGATACGAGATCCAGACGCCCGCATGGATCAGCAGCGCCAAGTACACGGCCAAGATGAAGCCGTGGCTGGAGCAGACATCGACGCCGATGCAGCAGTCGCTGGATCGCGTGGCGAGCAGCAGCCAGAGATACGCAGAGGCACGCAGCAGGATCATGCCTTCTTTCTCTAGCGCTGACGACGCTAATCGTGCAGGGGAAGTTGAGCAAGCGTCGGGAGAGGAGGATCAGCCGGCTGTTCAGATCGACTTTGGCCAGTACGTGCTACAGAGCTTTCGAGCAGAACGACAGGGCCGAGGGAGCGCAACAGCAGCGAACGAGGCATCGCAAGATGCTACGGATGGAGGCGGGAGCAGTTCGTCGGCAGCACGCGTTGCTGTGGATGATCCTGGTAGCTTGAGTCTCGAGTCACTCTACCGACTGGCGGCGGAACGCACCAAGACCGAGGCGGTGGCCAGGGGCGAGACGCTCAAGTCTTTGCGCGCGCGCACCTCTCGCCATTCCTAGTATCCCTCCTCGCAGCCACTCCTCCGTCGACCGTGCGGAATCTCAACGCTTGCAACAGATAGGTTTGTATGGCCAGAAGTGGCAGTGGTTTGAATACGTGAGACTATTCTTGCGGGTCGTTGTTGTCTGCGGGCTGTGGCGGTTCTGGCCACCACTTGGGGATGTGTGGCTTGACGAGCAGAGTCGTTTCGCCGTCAGCCGAAAGCACCGACATTTCCAGCCCATCCTCCGACGTCGGGTTGGATGCATCGGTCCATCGCTGAACCTGCTCCAGCCTGAGACAAGCGAGTCCAACATTGTAGATACCCGATGTGAACTTGCCTGCTGCCTTTCCCCTTGCGGGCTTTGCCGTTGCCGAAGCGGAAGCTACTGGCTTTGAACGGACTTCGGCGAGGTGGGCGGGGAGCTGGAATGTTGCTCCGCGGTCGACATTGAGTGTGTCCGGAGCAGGCGTGCCGAGGAGGTAGAATTGGAGCGGAACGATGCGTTTGCGGACGACACCGGTGTGATGAGTACGTGCGGTGAGTTCTTGCCCCACATAGCAGCCTTTGCGGAAGTCGACGCCGTGCATGTAGTCCAGGTTGTTCTCCAGCGGCAAACTCGCCGCCTCGGGAACATCCAGCGCACCTTCTGCAACACCTTGCATTATGCGATGGATCGTATATTCCTCGTCCTCCACCGATGCAATCTGGTCGCGCAGCGTTGCGTGGGTCTCGTGCGAGACTACACCGCGGTAGCCTATCGTCGGACACCTCGGATCGCGACTTAGCTGCTCCGTCACGGTCGAGTTCGGCTGACTCGCTGCTGAAGTCCATGCCTGCACGACGCTGTATTCGTTCGACACGTCGGTGAGCTTGACCTTGGAGCGTAGCTTGAATTTCTTGATGAATGCGAGCAGCGACGGGAGCGTGCGCGAGTCAATGTCGAGCAGCCATCGCGGCGAACCGTCCTGCAGGGGTGCCTGACGGTGGATAAAGACATCGGCCAGCATCCTTCCCTGCGGATTCATGAAGCCGGCGTAGACGAGTGCTGGTGCATGCGGCTCTGTCGCAGATGCGAGGATTTTCACATCGTTGCTCACCAGACCCTGCAGCAGCTTCACCGTGTCACGGCCGCTCACCTCGACAACACCACGGTTGGGCACCTTGGCCAGCTTCCATTCGGAACCATCCGTCGAGACTTGTGAGTAGAGACGTGCAGACGAAGCAAAGGTGCGGGTCCGGGACGGCACGGTTGAAAGCGGGTTGCGAGAGGCGGCAAGATTCAAGCCAGTAGAAGGAGATCCACCGCAGGCTGAGCTGGCTGCCCGCCGAGATGCGACGGTGCGGGGCAGCTGACGCAAGAGTGTGGCGCTGCTTTGCGCCAGGACTCTTGCATTGCAAGATGTTGGTGTCGGTCTCATGACGCTTGTCAGAGTTGTTGTTGATGATGGAGATGCGGGAGCGGAAGAGAGGTTGTGGTTGGCCTTCGGAAGCTTGAATCAGCCAAACCTCCACACCGGAACTCGGATCTTGGATTTTTCGACCAAGTGTGGATCGGCGAGGCATAACATGTAATTTGGAGCCCTTTTAGAGTGAGGCCTTACGGACGCTGCTCGTCGTGGTCTCCAAAGGTTGTTTGGTGGAAGGCGGCCTTCGGATGTGCCGGGCTGCGCGGTAATGCAGTCGACTGGAAGTTTGCTCGAGAGATCGCTGGGGAGCCATGCAGAGAGCAAGGGGCTGGCGGCAAGGGTCCTCTGCTGTCCCACGGATCCTGGTCGGCCGCACGCCGAAAAGAAGCTACTCTGGGACACCCGGCGGATCTGCTACAAAGATCGTATCGAGGGTGCGGTGCCTCCGCTGCAGGTACATCAGCGGAGCCAGGAAGGCGCCCGGGCGATGGCGAGCAGGCATAAACCCGCGAATGCAGGCGAGACGCAAGGGGCTAGGGACTGTCTCCTAGAGCCTGCCTTTCGGAAACGCCGACGTGTTGGTCCGTCTTGCCGCGGTTGCCGTGATTTCGGAAGAATGGTGCTGCTAGGGCAAGTCACTTGTATGGTTGTAGGCGCTTCCGACCCCACCTTGAGCGGCTGTCTATGCGTGGAGAGATGCGAACCGCATGCGTCTTTCCGCTATCAAAGCAGCTTCCCCGCCTGTCTATAGGTGATCCAACGTAGAGAGTCGACGGGCGCGGGACAAGATGTGGATTGGAATTTCAAACGGCGATTGGCACATGGTTAGGGCTTTGTTGCGCGAGGTCTACACAGGCGGAAGGCGGATGCTAGCGCGTAGAGGGGACAGGCTTGATCGGCGAGGTGCGCGCTTGCTAAAAAAGGGGCAGGAGGCCATCCGCCTCGAAGCGAGTCGGCCGTGGCGGGATAGCCCTGAAGATCCGTCCGGCTCTGGATGCAGCTGAGCTGCACGTCGCTTAGCGCTGCAGGAGGGTTGCCTTTGGATGTGCATCTCCCCTGCACACACAGGCTAGGGATTCAAGCTTTGGAGCGATGTCTTTTTGGTCTGCCGTGTGGCGCCAGGGCGGTTTCAGGCTGTTTGGCGCAGCGCACTCGCCAGCAGCTGCCGGTTCCAAAGAATAACGTGGCGGAGGCGTGCTTTGCGTGCGCATCTGTGAGTCCCTGTCTCTGAATTTACGGTCTCGAATCGTCCGTCTTCCGTTCACATCGGTCGTTCGAACGCGAAATGCTCAAGATTCCTTTGATTCTGAGGCTGAGGCTGAGATTGAGGCTGAGGCTGATGGTGGCTCGTCTCTTTGCCTGACCGGCGCGCGTGAGTCTGAGCTGACCGACCGTCGTCGCGTCCGGAAAGCAAATACGGAGCGAGCGGAATTGCAATCCATCTGCGCTCCGCAGCTGACAGGAGCACACGGCAGCGGGGCCCAGACTGCGGGACCCTCTGGTCTGATCGAGATCTGTGCTCAGAGGCATGCTAAGCGAGTGTGCACTTTGTGCGTCCCAGTCCAGACGCCGCTGTCGGTGTTTCGACGATTGTCTCTGCTTGCATCACACCACCCTGTGCCTCTCGGCTGGACCCACACGCGCCACGAACACACACTCTCTTTCTCAGGCTACCCTGCTGCCGGCTTC